AATCTTTAAGTATTGCTTGACTGAAAACAACATAGTAATAATTCAAGATCATAAAAGGCCATTTATATTAGAACAAACTCTTGAGGCTTAAAAATGATAAATCATTCGCAGTTGGGTTTTACTTTAAGTATACTCCAATTATATTTGGCAGAATTATTGGGAGAACCCCATTTTTATATAGCACATCATACTTCAGGAGTTTAAAAAATCAAATACATTTGCAGTTATTTAATACTGTTCCATCCGGTCACTCATGCCCTGGTCACCTCCTGATTGGATTACTGCAATGCACTCTACATGGGGCTACCCTTGAGGAGTATCTGGAAGCTACAGCTGGAACAAAATGCAGCAGCACGGACAGTTTTGAATGCCCCCGGGGGGCACATATAACACCTTTGTTACATGAGCTGCATTGGTTGCTGGTTTGCTTCCGGGTCCAATTCAAGATGTTGGTTATTACCTTTAAAGCCCTTCATGGCACAGGACCAGGTTATCTGAAGAGCCATCTCACCCCATTATATCAGTCCATCCCACTCAGTCTGGCAGAAGGGGCATGCTGCAGACCCCACCAGTCAAGGAATTTCGGCTGGCGGGGTCTAGGAAGAGGGCCTTTGCTGCCTTGGCCACCGCCCTGTGGAATAATTTACCACCTGAGGTGCGGTCCGCCCCCACTCTCCTGGCCTTCCAGAAGAATGTGAAATTTTGGCTATGCCAGATGGCCTGGGGGCCTGATGGGGGCTCATATTGTTGGAATTGACTGGTGGGGTAATTGATTCTGCCCCCCCCATCATCTTGAATTTTATATAGTCTTTTTATATATTATTTTTTTAACTTATTTAATATGGATATTTATATTTTTACTGTTTTAACATCTGGATTTTAATTGTGAGCTGCCCAGAATCACCTGGGGGAGATGGGTGGCATATAAATTTAATAAATAAAATATTGTTGGAATTGACTGGTGGGGTAATTGATTCTGCCCCCCCCATCATCTTGAATTTTATATAGTCTTTTTATATATTATTTTTTTAACTTATTTAATATGGATATTTATATTTTTACTGTTTTAACATCTGGATTTTAATTGTGAGCTGCCCAGAATCACCTGGGGGAGATGGGTGGCATATAAATTTAATAAATAAAATAAAATAAATAAATCTGGCAATTACTTTTAAAAATAAGATATGCTATAGCAGCCTTTTCCAACTTGATGCCCTTCAGATATGAGAGATTATAGCTCTTAGAACTTCCAACCAGCATCTGGTTGGAGAAGGGGCCCTGTGGGCTTTCAGTTCCCAGGAGAAGACAAAATGCTAAAAAAAGCTATATATTTAATCATAATGGAAATATTTTCTGTTTGTGAAAACTGAGAATTTTGATCTCATCTTTGATTTAAGGAATTGGATTAATTATTCTGGCTGTACTTCAAGTTTGCATTTCTTAGATGAAGACAAAAAGCATTTTGGAACGCCAAAGCTGGTAACCATACTTGTTAAATTAGCCATATCAAAATCGACAGTTTTGATAATTTTTCATTGTGTTACACAGACACTTAATTATCTCTTTCCAGAGATACTGATGATGGATGTGACAATAGAATTCATTTCTAGTGTGCTGCTGCCCATATTTTATTTATTTATTCATTCAATTTATCTCTTACCTTTCTATTCAATTCAAGATGACCAATAATTACTAATATATACAAAACAATTGAAGACCTGGTGAAAAAGATGAGCTCTAAGTGCAAAGAAAGTGTAAAATGCCTTAGGAATTAGAACCACTGAAAGAGCAGTTGGTTGAACTTTGGACTTAAGCAGCAAAAATTAAGACCTATCATGATAATTTGAGTAACCATATCTCAGGTTACAACTTGCAGACAGTCCTTTTGATCATCCCATTCAATAAATCAGCAAGCAAACTAACATTAATTTCCTGTGTAATTCAAACCACTAATCTACAGATAACAGCTTTAGAACAACAACAAAAAGACCTAATACTGCAGATATACTGCAGATAATACAGCAGTACTTTCCTACTCTGCTACCTTCCTGTTAATGACAAAATGAGAAGCTGTTGTTAACAGAAAACTTTCTGGTTGATTGCTAATTTGCAGAAAGGGAGGAGTGAAGAAGTGGAGTCAATCTATAATGTGATTGTCTGAATGCAAATATGAAATCCATTTCATGTGTTTTTAAACTGATGTGTGGAAATGTGATTATGTGCCAGAAAAAGTAAAATGCCAGGACTATGTCAAAGCCCGAGGTATGACCAGGGTCATTCTAAAAAAAAATGTTACTGAGTGTTGAGTGAAGGTCAAGCACATTATTTTCCTGCTTCTGTCTCCGACATCCCCGTTGCTTAATATAGCTTCAGCTGGCTTTCCCCAGTCTAGTGCTGCCCAGGCAGATATGTCTGGCCTTAGTTCCCAGAATCCCATAACCAGCATGGTGCTGGCTGGAGACCACAAGAGCTGAAGTCCAACATAATCTGGAAAGCATCAGTTTGGGGATTCTGACACCTGCCATCCTTCCTTACTAGTTGCTTTGTGCTAGGAGAAAAAACAACACAAAAGAGGAACAGGAGATAAACTAAGAATTCTCAGAGACAAGCACAGAATCTGTAGGGAACATGAAAGGATTACCAATAAAAAAATATGTTCCACAGATAATGTTATCATGTAGTCCCCCGGGAGGGAAGCTTTATCGTGGACAGGAAGCTCTCTCACTGGGATCCTATGTTTCTTTCTTAGATAAAGTCTCCAGGGCACAAACCTAACAGCTCACTCACTCAGTCATTTTTGTATTATATAATCTTTATCAAACTGAGCCCTGCTTGCATATCTTATAACACGCAATATAAAAAAATAACATTCAGAAGACCCAATGAAAACAAATCCCCACTCAGATCCTGTAGGAAATGTGCCTTCTGCACATGTAATGTAAAGCATCAGCTACGCTCACGTTTTAAAGAGCTGTGTATTATACACATGCATATTGAGAATAGGCCCAGTATTTTGTATATATGACGGCTGCTTAGCAACGGAAATGTCCAGTACATTCTTATACTAAAATTAACAAAAGTGTTTCCAGAGTCAAGAAAAGACGCTTGAGGGCACAAAGATAAAACTGTCAGCAGCATTGAGATGACATTATAGAGAAATGGGTAGGGAGTTGAAAAATAAAATTTTCATTGACTTTAAAAAAGATTACTGTGGCAGACAAAAGAAAACAGTTTTCTATTGTTTTTTTCCTCTTTGGAAAGACCATTATTTCTTTGCAGTGCATATTATATCGAATATATGGTCCTGTGAAGGAATGTAGACCTGGCCTTGAGAATGAGAAGGAACGAGCGAACCATTAAGGGGTGGGTGGGCTGGGAAGTTTCAGAAGAGACTACTCAGCCTGGAGAAAGAGGAAAACATGAAAAAGTAACTCAAAATAACTCCACCTTGATTTTGTTTATATAAGATGGGACAGAGAGAAACCCTGACAGGATTTCAAGATTCTGTTATGCTACCTTACAGCAGAAGAACATTCTTGGAATGCCCACCATGCGTGTTCTGCTCTACCCTGAAGGGCTGACAAGCCCCCCAATTTGATTTCAATCCTTTTTCAAGGATTGACATGCAACACCAGTCAAAATAAAGACAGATCCTACATTTGTGTATAGAGACATTTTAGCTTGTCCCAAGCTGTGCCAATTCACATCAGGGGACATTCTGACTACACCAACTTTCTGGTTTAGACATGGGGAATCATATTAGTGTCCAGACATTCAGAGCAAAGCCATCATTGGCAGCAAGAGAACCAGGCAGGTTGATAGATGTGCTAAGATTCACCCTGTTAATGATCTGACAAAAGCCAAAAGGCAGTCATGGCTCTGCTGCCTGAGGTATGAAAACATACTTGGTCTTTGAAAAGAAACCTCTGACTGCTCAGAGGGATTGGCCCAGAAGCCTTTCCTTCTGACATTATCTCAGAGAAAAACTACTAGGACATAGAAGCCCAAGCACAGGGCCAAGTACAAAGAACTTAAATGAAGTACAGCAAGAAAGATAGAATTAAACAAACAGAGAGATCATGGCTGCTTTGCCCTAAGCAGCTTCCATAAATATTATCCCTATACTGCATTGGGATGAAAATAAATAAAAAGCCTAGAGGTTTTCTAAAGTGGTTTTTTTTATACTGCAAATGAGTAGGATAGAAAGAGAAGCAGGTGACAAACCCACACTATCAACATCACTTTGGTTCAGAAGCCCACTCCTAGATGCTACTGAATAATCTCAGCCACGCTACCTCTGCCTGGGAGCTGGAGTTGGACACTGCCACCTTGAGACCTGCATCACAACGTTTTGAGATTTTATTGCTTTAAGGCCGGCTTATTCGCTGCCTCCCTGAGTCTGCAGGAAGAACTGCCTGATGGCTAGCTTTTGCAAGGTGCAGACATACTGGCTTGCCAGTAAAATTACAGAGGCCAAGTTTATTGATCTTATTTATTTAAAATACTTCTAGGCTGCCATGAAAGGTAGAAACCATCCCAAGTTCAGTTCAAATGTCTTTGTTTCAGCTGCCTGGCAATGGTGGCAGAGGTGGACTCTAGTTAATGAAAGATGTAGCCTCTGGTAAATCAGTCCAAAGGGGGCAGGCAAAAATGGAATAAAGAAAAGACGCCAAAGTGTTGCTTTTATGGAGGCAGGAAAATGTCCACAAAGACATAGCAGCAAATGGGACAATAGGATCACTCATCTCATGCATATTTATGGGGCAGCTTTGAATTTGGCTCCTCAATGCAACAAAGCTTGGTTCAAAGGCAATATGTTTGCATGATCATGCGCTCTTTCACAACACTTGAAGCCGAGTCTTTGATACCAACTAAAGCGCCTGGCTTTCACTGAAGCAACTGCTTCTTTTGGAAGTTCTAATCATTATACAAACATGGGTTCTGAACCCTTTACACTCTCTTTATCAAAGAGAAATCAAAGAAGTTCTTCAAGGCTTTACCTCCGTCTGAAAGCCTTCCACCAAGATAGCAACCAACAAATTAAAGAGAACGTAATTCCCAAATGTCATGAGGGCAATGAAGTAGAGAGCAGCCCAGGAAGAGGTAGAAGCCATGCCATTGTAGAGGACTTTATTCCAGTCTTCCTGAGTCAGGATCTGGAATGAAAAGAGGAACCATTTGATGCAAGACCACCTTAAAGTGCATTCACCTTCCTACCAACCTATGATCCAGGTAAAACTGTTTCATTTTTCAATGCTAAGCATCACGCACACAGGTAATTTTGGAAAGTGATAGTATACACTTAGAACTGGTTATTCCTTCTTTGCCTCATGAGGTCTTTCACCAGTGAGACTCAGTTGTTAGAACTGTGGCACACATTTAGAGCAAGAGCTGAATGTATCCTACGTCTATGCCTGTACCAAAGAAAGTCGGAAGTTATCTTTTTTATTTTTTATTTTTCTACTTTTTCTCTTGTATTTCTTTTCTGATCTCTTCTCTCTTTCTATTCTTTTCTCTCCCTTAATTTTCTTATATTTTATTCTTTATTGAAATTTAATAAAGTTTATTTTAAAAAAAGAACTGCAGCACACATTGCCTTATCCTTGTGGACTGCAATGAATTTTTCAGTGGCTAAGAAAGAAGCTTCACAGCTGGCTGAGTCATATATAATACTCACTGCTTCTGGCCAGAGGTGGCTGATTGTCCCTAACATTCTCCTAACTGGTTGCTGCCTCAGTTTTCAAGCCTAGCTGGCATCACCAGCAATATTAAACAAAAAGAAAAACTTGAAAAGGGCTGCAAATCTGTGTATTTCTGTCTGTCTGTCTATCTTCATGTTTCCATATTTTATTTAAATAATCAGCTCTTTCTCCCAACATTCCTGACTGTAACAATTTGTTCAAAGGAGATAATCAGATCTCAATCTTTCACAATTTGGAGAATGCTAGCTCCATTTTATTCAAGGAAGTTCAATATTCTGGTTAGATTAACAGATACTCTAACTGGTGCTGCTAGATGTCCTAAAATAAAATATGACAATTTAAAGAAGAATATAAGCATTTTATAAAACAAACATATAACCTCAGTTTACGTCCTGATTTCTGCAGAGAGAATGTATTTGGTCTCACAAACATAATCAGAAGGTAGAAATTGTGAGGCCAATTTATACTAGGGCTTTATTTATTATTTAATGTCTTAATTACTAGAATCTGTTACTTGCTTTCCATTACACCAATACTATTGACATGTGCCTGTGAAGAAGCAATTGATGTTCACTATGCTGTTTTCAAAAACCCCAGCTGTAAATTGTTTCAAATGACAGGCATTTGCAAGATAAGAATTATGGGCCATAATTGATGATTTACCTGGAAAACAGTAACAATGGCCCAGAGCAAGGAATCAAAATTCTTCCTGTCAGGGAGAGTGTCTCCATCTCTCTCTGAAGCAAACTTACACCCAAAGAGATGCATCCCAAGGATACTGAATAACAAGGAGAAATAGGTTAAAAGAAAGATAAAGAGTTAGAATTTGGAAGAAGTTCCTTATCTCTCTGCTCCCTCCCATTAAAAAAAGGAAGCTCAGTTTTAGTAAGTTATTTTCTATCAACTTTGGTATGGCATTTCTTTTTTGCTATTATTTTAAAATAAAAAAAGCAATTAAAATAACGTATTGTCGAAGGCTTTCACGGCCGGCATACGATGGCTGGGGTGGGGCCTCCGGGGTGGAAGGGAAAAAAACTTCCAAAAAAAAGGCACACCACCCCGGAGACCCCCCCCAGCCCATATAAAAAAACTTTTGGATG